AAAAAAAGTTTTCTTTGGGTATGGAAATATTTGGCGGGAAAAGGGGGTTTTGGGGGGGGGGGGAACCCCCCTTTTCCCCTTTAAGCGCCCAGGGGGCCCCGCGTGGAAAAGGGGCCCCAAGGGGTCCTAAACAAACCCACTAACAATTTTAGTTTTGGGCCCCCGCCTGAAAAAATCCCAACAACCTAAAACGGGGAGGGGCCCGGGGTTTTTCCATGACCCCCGGTTACTCCTCCCCTTGGCCCTAAAATACCCCAGGATCCCGAAAAACCCCCCAAAGTTCCCAAAAAGGGGGGGGTCGGAGGCAAAAAATCAAAATTTTAAAAATGTCAAAAATTTTTAAAGGAGGCCAACAAAAATTAGTTTTTTCTTCTTTAGGAAACCCCCGGGGGATTCCCCAGTGGCCACACCAAAGGGGGGCAATCCGGGGGTTTTTGCCAAATTTTCAAATTTTTTTTTTCCCAACTTACCAAAACCGTAAATTTTTCCCTTTAAACCCCCAAATTTTTTTCAAAAGGGAAAACCCAAATTTTTATAAAAAATTTGGGGGGAAAAAAAAGGGCCCAAATTGCCCTTTTTGGGACCACCCCGGGAAAAACCCCCTTTAAAAATATAGGGGCTAAAGGGGGAAATTTTTAAAAGGGTTGGGGCCCCCCCGGGGGGGGGGGAAAATTTAAAGGGAGGCCCGACCCCGGGTTGGTAAAGGAAACCCCTAAAAATTTAAAAAAAATTTTTAAACCACCAAAATTGGGGAAAAGGGGAAAGGGGTTTTTTTTTACCCAACCCTTTTAAAAATTTTTAAAAGGTTTAAAAAAGAAAATAAAGCTTTTTTTCAAAAATTTCCCAAAAATTTTGGGTTGAGTTAAAAAAAAAAGGGGAAAAAACCCTTTTTAAATTTGGGGAAGATTTTTAAATTTTTTTAAATTTTTTTTAAAAAAAAAAAAAAAAGGTTTTAAAAATTTTAAATTTTTAAAAAAAATTTTTTTTTATTTAAAAAAAAAAAAAATTTTTTTTAAAATATTTTTTTAAAAAAAGGAAAAATTTTTTCCATAGGACATTTTAAAAAATTAATTTTTATTTTAAAAATTTTAAAAAAGAAAAAAAAAAAGGGAAAATTTTTTTAAAAAAAAAGGGTTTTAAAATTTTTTTGGGGAAAAAAAATTTTAACGTAAAAAAAATTTAAAAAAAAAAATAAAAAAAAAAAAAAGTTTTTTTTTAAAAAGGTAAAAAAAACATTTGGCCCAGCCGTAGATCTACGGGACGGACCCTGAAAGGGTTAATGTGTACCTGCACACCAGCACAGTGTGTAAGTATATTTAGGTACAGGTACACATAAGTACATGTATAATTATAAGTACTATTATGTCTGGAAAGTTTCCAGACATAATAGATGTGGTCATGGAGAATGTGAACAAGCTGGGTGGGGCACGCCGTATTTGAAAGACCGCTTGCTGTATAGCAATTTTGGTCATAATTTGACATCGCCGTATTAGCGAAATGCCATAAAGCGGGGTCCTACTTTAATTATGATACTAAACTAATTTATCTTACTAATTAATGGATTGTTACAAGTAGTTTTTTAAAAATACAGGGATACAGTTTACTCTTAATATGGTACAGATTTGATGATTTTATATTGAACTGTTGTTATTTTAGAGTTTGACAAAAGTTGTAGATTTAGAACAGAAGTTTACTGAGCACAATAAAATTGCTTAGTACTGGAAGTAATAATTAAATTAAAAGTCTGTAGGTAATGGTAGTTATAAAAGAAAAATAAGAGAAAACAGAAATAATAGTTTATAATAGATTAAAATACAGGGATTATGCTAACTCTTATTCTGGCACAAGTTTTACAATATAATGTTGCACTGGTTATCAGTTCTATAATAATAGTTTATAATAGTAAGCAAGTAATGGTAAATTAAAAATAAAACAATAGAAATAAAAAGAGAGAATGTAGTGATCAGTTGTACAAAAGTAAAAGGGACTGATAGTAAATATGGTGTTGAACAAAATTTAAGCAAGTAATATCAGCTAAAAAATATAAAAAAGAAATAATTTCTATTATAAGTTATAAAATTTTTATGAACAACTATTAGGTTTCAGTATTGCACTGGTAGTAATATTAAAGCTTATAAAGGCAGTACAAAGTAGTATTTAAAAGTAAAGAGCTACACTGAGCGAATATAGTGATTAATTGTATAAAGTAGAATGGACTGATAATAAATGTGGTATTAAAACAAGTTTTTAACAAGTAATGGTAATTAATACATAATCTGTAAAAAATGTACAAAAGTAGAATGGACTGATAGTAAATATGGTATTAAATAAAATTTTTTAGCAAGTACAGTGGTCCCTCGCTTTTCGTAGTTCTCAGCAATCGTAAATTTCGCCAATCATAGGGATATTTTCGTATAAACATGGACTCGCTTTTCATAGGTTGACTCGCGAATAGTAGTTCGTCCAGGACGCTTACGCACGGTGTGAGCAGGGGAGGCCTCCCTACCCAGCCAATCTGGCATTGTTTACCAGTGAGTGAAGGTCCCCTCAAGTGCTCCTACGAAATATTTCATAATACAGTGGACCCCCGCATAACGATGGCATCACATAGCGATTATTTCGCATACCGCTTACTTTAATTGCAAAAATTTTGCCTCACATACCGCTTAAAAACCCGCTTACCGATTTTCGTCCGAGACGCGTCCAATGTGCGGCCTGAGCCACGCTCACATGTTCCGCCAGTGGCATTGTTTACCAGCCAGCCTCCGCGGTAACATCCAAGCATACAATCGGAATATTTCGTATTATTACAGTGTTTTCGGTGCTTTTTCTGGAAAATAAGTGACCATGGGCCCCAAGAAAGCTTCTAGTGCCAACCCTACAGCAATAAGGGTGAGAATTACAATAGAGATGAAGAAAAAGATCATTGATAAGTATGAAAGTGGAGTGCATGTCTCCGAGCTGGCCAGGTTGTATAATAAACCCCAGTCAACCATCGCTACTATTGGTGGTACAGCTGCTGCTGCTGCTGCACTGTCAGCTGCTGCTGCTGCTGTAGCACCGTTGTTGGTGTGGCTTATTGAGAATACCAAGAAACAATTAACCCCAGAGGATTTGCCACCCAGGATAACCCAAAAAAGTCAGTGTCATCGAAGACTGTCTAACTTATTTCCATTGGGGTCCTTAATCTTGTCTCCCAGGATGCAACCCACACAAGTCGACTAACACCCAGGTGAACAGGGAAAAATGCCTGGAACTAGTGCTCATATTGGTGAATTTAAAGCCAGCAAAGGTTGGTTTGAGAGATTTAAGAATCATAGTGGCATACACAGTGTGATAAGGCCTGTTCTGGAAGAAAATGCCAAACAGGACCTACAGTACTCAGGAGGAAAAGGCACTCCCAGGACACAGTGTCTCATCAGTCATTGCTGCATCTTCAATAAAGGTAAGTGTCATTTATTCTTCATTTAGTAGACTAGTACATGCACAATATATACTGTGCATGTACTACTCTACTATTGTGCATGTATCCTTCTCTTTGTGTGTGGGAAAATGTATATTTCATGTGGTAAAAATTTTTTTTTCATACTTTTGGGTGTCTTGCACGGATTAATTTTATTTCCATTATTTCTTATGGGGAAAATTCATTCACATAACGATTATTTCGCATAACAATTACCCCTCTTGCACGGATTAAAATCGTTAACCGGGGGTCCACTGTATTCCACTCATTTTAGTGCTTGCAAGTACTAAATAAGCTACCATGGCTCCAAAGAAAGCTCCTAGTGCCAAGCCTGTGGTAAAGAAGGTGAGAAATATGTACAGTGACAAAGTCTTGTACCATTTTAGGGAAGTGTTAAAGAGATGCCAGAAACAGAGCTCTCTCCAGAGTTATTTTGCAAGACAGGACTAGAGTGACTCTCAAGGTGGTCCTAGTGGCATTAAGAAACAGAGAAGAGAAGCAACCCCAGAGAAACAATTGGTACCTGAGGTGTTGCTGGAAGGGGATTCCCCTTCCAAACTGTAAACAATCCACTCTCTCTCCTCCTCCAGTCTCCCATACACTAAGAAGAATCTCCAATAAAGGTAAGTGTTATGCTGTTAATGTTTCATTCATCATTTCCCATTGTATTGTTTATGTACTACATGTATATTTCATGTAAAAAAATTTTTTTGTTTTAATACTTCTGAGTGTCAGAAATGGATCAATTGTATTTACATTATTTCTTATGGGGAAAATTGATTCGCAAATCGTAAATTTCATTTATAGTAGCTCCCCCAGGAACGGATTAATTACGAAAAACGAGGGACCACTATAATAGTAATTAATAGTATTTAAAAAAATGGGGTTGCAAAATGGACAGGTAGTATTTATTAGACAAAATTTAAACAAGGAATAGTAATTTAAGAAAAATACATAACATAAGGTGGCTAATTCTCACTAGTAATATCATATATACTGAGGTAGTTGATTTTGATTATTAAGAGAGTGTACTGTGAAATTTGTACAATAATGGAGCAAAACATACACTACAACGTAAACATGTAAACAAACCGGGCGGGAACAAGTATCTTCACCAGGAGCCAGATCAACCAAGCTGTGATAGATATGTGGGGCATCGGGCCTCCAGCAGCAACAGCCTGGTTGACCAGGCAAGCACCAGACGAGCCTGGCCCATGGCCGGACTCGGAGAGTAGATAAACTCTCGAAACTCTTAAAAGGTATATATCAAAGGGGTGTGGTGACCGTATTAGAAAGTCAGGTGGGGGAGCTGTATAGCGAGTTTTGGTTATAGTAATTTGAAATGTCCGTATTAGCGGAATGTCGTAAAGCGAAACGCCGTAAAGCAGGGCCCTACTGTATTAATTTTCCATTGGGAGACCTATAACTCATGAACACTGTAGTGTATATCATTTGGAATGGTTCCTTATCTATAGAAGGTCATGTCTGGAGATAATGGATAAGCTATTTAAATACTTCAGATAACACTTTAGCTATCATGTTTACTCCTAATAGTAAATATTAAATGTTAGGTTTCTGAGTATTAATTGTCAGGCTGATCAGTTTAAGAAAGTTCTGTGCCAAGCTTGGCTCCCTACTTCTCCTGTGAGTGAAGGTACTGTATAGAAATGTTCTGTTTTTATATACTATACTTAATATTCAGTATTATGCTTTGATATGTTTAAAAAACTTTTTTCTAGAATGTTGCAAATGTCCTCAACATTTTTTGAAATATAATATTGCTTACTATCCTAGCAACAAGACGATTTAGCCATACATATTAATGTTTCAAATCCTGTATTCATTTCATTAAATTTAAATTCTATATTAAAAAAGTGCAAAGGTGTGAGACAGTGTGGGTATAATTGAAAGAATACAAGGTGTGCACAAATCCTTTTCTGATTTCAAATACAGGTCTCCCTCAACATTCACGTTTTCAACTTTCACGGGCTTCACACATTCGCGAATTCCCAACCGCCAAATTCCCAGCCACCAAATTCCCAGCCGCCAAATCATATTTAAGTTTCCCGCCACCTGCGAGTCCCTACTACCCTCCCTCCGACCCCCGCAACTGGTAGCCAGCCCTCCCACCACTCAGTGTGGCGAGTGTTTTGTTTGTTCATTATTTGCTATTAAACTACAGTATAAATAATGTAAACCCATTCATGACTGCATATTGGAATGGCTATTCGGACAGGTATTAGACGGTGACATCACGTGTTTACTCTTGAACACAGCAAAGAATCAAACATTTCTGCTACAGCTAATAATAACAATAGTAGTAGTAATAATAATAATAATAATAATAATAATAATAATAATAATATTAAGAATAATAATAATAAATACGATATAATTGAAGAAGGAAATTGTACAAAAATACGAGGGAGTGGTTGACACATCGTCAGTGTGACTTTGTTTATGCTGGAGTGAGCATTAGTCTCCGTGCTTTTCCAAACATTTCACAATAATTCATTGTGTTTGGTGCTTGTAGATTGAGTGTGACTGGAGTGGTAGAGGCAGTGGTTGAGGCAGCGATTGAGGCAGTGGTTGAGGCAGCAGTTGAGGCAGTGGTTGAGGCAGCGATTGAGGCAGTGGTTGAGGCAGCTGTTGAGGCAGCGATTGAGGCAGCGATTGAGGCAGTGGTTGAGGCAGCTGTTGAGGCAGCGGTTGAGGCAGCGGTTGAGGCAGCGGTTGAGGCAATGGTATTTAATAACATGTTAATAATAATAATAATAATAATAATACATGTTATTAATAATAACATGTACTATTATTATTTATAACATATATGTTATTAAATACCACTGCCTCAACTGCTGAATTATTGTGAAATGTTTGGAAGAGCACAGAGACTAATGCTCACTCCAGCATAAACAAAGTCACACTGAGGATATGTCAACCACTCCCTTGTATTTATGTACAATTTCCTTCTTCAATTATATCATATTTATTATTATTATTATTATTATTATTATTATTATTATTATTATTATTATTATTATTATTACTATTGTTATTATTAGCAGTAGCAGAAATGTTCGATTCTTTGCTGTGTTCAAGAGTAAACACGTGATGTCACCGTCTAATACCTTTCCGAATAGCCATTCCAATATGCAGTCATGAATGGGTTTACATTATTTATACTGTAGTTTAACAGCAAATAATGAACAAACAAAACACTCGCCACACTGAGTGGTGGGAGGGCTGGCTACCAGTTGCGGGGGTCGGAGGGAGGGTAGTAGGGACTCGCAGTGGTTGAGGAAGTGGTGGAGGCAGTGGTGGAGGCAGTGGTGGAGTCTGTGGTATTTAATAACATACATGTTATTAAAGCATAACATGTATATATTTAGTACAATTTACGACATTTTCATGTATTTTATGATTGTTCATGGTTCAACAAGTTAAGGAAGCAGTATTGTATTATATTTCCCTACAATATATTGGGGCACCAAACATTCACGGTTTTTCAACATTCGCGAGGCTCTTGATCCCCTAACCCTCGCGAATGTCGGGGGAGACCTGTACGTATTTATTACAGCAGTATATGTCTAAAAAAGTGGAACTGCAGTTCTCGGCACATGATAACATAATTTACATGACATGTAATTATCCTAACTTGAAGTTCCCTGGTAGGTGGATTTGGTGTCCTCTTGAAATTACTCCCGGTTTCCCCTGATATCTTGCCTTTAGAATTCTTCGTATGATGATTTGTGAAGGATTGCTATCCAGATAGAAGTAGCTGACATTAAATAACTACATGCTAAAGTAAATGATGGCATCTGAAAGTCACACTGATGTGTTTCTCAATACATGGAAAGAACTGGAATATTGATTATCTGTGTTACAAGCCACTAAAGGGGCACATGTTGAACTGCATCAATTAAATGACTCTGAAATGGTATTAAAATCCTAATAATTCGGCTACCATATGCAGCAACCACATTTCCTTATCAGTTACCATTTATTTTGTTGTAAAAATGTTTTGAAATGGGAAAATGACTTTGGAGAAACCCAGTATTTCTTGATAAAACCCATATTATGCTTATGTTTGGCAGGATTTGATTGAGCTAATATAGGAGTTTAAGGAATTCTAATTAAAGTTGTATAAATCAAAATCAACTGTGAGTGAGCATGATCACAATTCTTGATATAAGAATAATAGAATGAAAAATAATGTAAGGGTATGTACAGGTCAGTTTTTCTACTTGGATACAAATGGGTATCATACAGTAATGGGTATCATTCTGTAAAATGTAACATAATTCAAGAAAAAAGATACAATACTGGACATATAGAAGGACATGATTTTACCAAAGAGTTTTAAGAAATTTTATAATGGTAATGTTTTGCTAATGTGCAGTTGAGTCTGAATAACAATGCAAGAAATTAAAATTACATGCAATGCTGTGATTTGTAGAAATGACTCCCTAATGCCTCTGTAAGCTACCGGTTATCTTAACATCTTGAGTCTAAATTCTTGTCTCCCAATTATTTTTTGAACTTTACTTCTTCCCCTCAGTATTTTTCAATAACTACCATATGGCACTAAAAAGAGCGCTGATATTAAAAGTCAGAAGAATTGTGATGTGATAATCTGATAATGATCAAGAAAATAGTGACGTTATGAAGGCAAGCAAAAGAAAATCCTGGCAACAGGCCAGGGCTGCAGGAGAAGGAAGACTAAAAACCAGTCATAGGTATATCATGGGTATTGGGTAAATAAATGTTCTGATTGGACATAACACAGGAATGTAGAGCAAATATTTTATACATTTGTGCATTTAGAATGAATGTGGAAGCATCATGATACTGTGTTTACTGCTGGTGACAGTGAATTGATAATATGAATGAGTATGATGTGTGTAATTACCTATTTGTAGCTACAAAAATATACTGGTTGTGTCTTGTCTTCAGTAATATGTTCATCATGTAATATTTTAACAATTCCAGTGATTGTAGTACAGTGGACCCCCGCATAGCAACTTTAATCCGTGCAAGAGGGCTCATTGTTATGCGAAATGATCGGTATGCGAATGAATTTTCCCCATAAGAAATAATGGAAATCAAATTAATCCGTGCAAGACACCCAAAAGTATGAAAAAAAAAATTTTACCACATGAAATATACATTTTCCTACACACAAAGAGAAGGATACATGCACAATAGTAGAGTAGTACATGCACAATATACATTGTGCATGTACTACTCTACTAAATGAAGAATAAATGACACTTACCTTTATTGAAGATGCAGCAATGACTGATGAGACACTGTGTCCTGGGAGTGCCTTTTCCCCCTGAGTACTGTAGGTCCTGTTTGGCATTTTCTTCCAGAACAGGCCTTATCACACTGTGTATGCCACTACGATTCTTAAATCTCTCAAACCAACCTTTGCTGGCTTTAAATTCACCAATATGAGCACTAGTTCCGGGCATTTTTCCCTGTTCACCTGGGTGTTAGTCGACTGGTGTGGGGTTGCATCCTGGGAGACAAGATTAAGGACCCCAATGGAAATAAAGTTAGACAGTCTTCGATGACACTGACTTTTTTGGGTTATCCTGGGTGGCAAATCCTCTGGGGTTAATTGTTTCTTGGTATTCTCAATAAGCCACACCAACAACGGTGCTACAGCAGCAGCAGCAGCAGCTGACAGTGCTACAGCAGCAGCAGACGATGCTACAGCAGCAGCAGACGATGCTACAGCAGCAGCAGACGATGCTACAGCAGCAGCAGATGGTACTACAGCAGCAGCTGATGGTGGTACAGCAGCAGCAGCAGCTGACGGTGCTACAGCAGCAGCAGACGATGCTACAGCAGCAGCAGACGGTACTACAGCAGCAGCAGACTGTACTACAGCAGCAGCAGCAGCAGCTGACGGTGGTACAACAGCAGCAGCAGCTGACGGTGCTACAGCAGCAGCAGCAGCTGACGGTGCTACAGCAGCAGCAGCAGCTGACGGTGCTACAGCAGCAGCAGCAGCTGACGGTGCTACAGCAGCAGCAGCAGCTGACGGTGCTACAGCACAGCAGCAGCTGACGGTGCTACAGCAGCAGCAGCAGCTGACGGTGCTACAGCAGCAGCAGCAGCTGACGGTGCTACAGCAGCAGCAGCAGCTGTACCACCAATAGTAGCGATGGTTTTATTGGGGTTTTATTATACAACCTGGCCAGCTCGGAGACACGCACTCCACTTTCATACTTATCAATGATCTTTTTCTTCATCTCTATAGTAATTCTCACCCTTATTGCTGTAGGGTTGGCACTAGAAGCTTTCTTGGAGCCCATGGTCACTTATTTTGCAGATAAAATCACCAAAAACACTGTAATAATACAAAATGTTCCGATTGTATGCTTGGATTTTACCGCGGAGGCTGGCTGGTAAACAATGCCACCGGCGGCACATGTGAGGCTGGCTAAGGGCGCACATTGGACGCGTCTCGGACGAACAGCGGTGAGCGGGTTTTTGAGTGGTATGCAAGGCAAAATTTTTGCGATAAAAGCGAGCGGTGTGCGGATTAAACGTTATGTGATGCCGACGGTATGCGGGGGTCCACTGTACTTATATATGTACTACTTTTCTTTTTAAATAGTTTCATCAGCCAACCACACTTTTTTTGCAATGAAAAAAATTCTAGTAAAACTTTGGCTCCACTTTTCTTTTCCTAAATTTGGAACCATGGCCAGTTTTTATGCCTGTTGTGGATATGAAGAAACTTTTTTTTGTATTTAGTCTTTCTTATAATTTTATGATACTGTACTGTATATGATATTAAATATAGATAGATATTATTATAATTATATAATTTTTACTCTTACTTAGGAATGATTCATTTAAAAAGTTTACATGCTTTGTCATGGGGCTTACGATTTTGACTTGTAAGAGACATGCATCCATGTTATGTGCACATCTTTGACACTTAATATCTTTTTAGAATGCCGAAGGCTCCAGTACAGAAAAAATGCCGTGTGCACAAGGAGGTGAGCCGAGTGTGCACAAAGCCTGGGGTGAAAGGAGCTAAACCTGCCTCGCGTGTACTTTCACAGGGACTTGTTTTTAACACAGATTTAGGTCAACACATCCTTAAGAACCCACTTGTCATTACTTCAATGATTGAGAAAGCTGGATTAAAGACAACAGACACTGTTCTTGAGGTCAGTATTTAGTGATATTTTCATTTATCGATTGAAAATAGTTCAAATATAAATATTCTATATTTAAATTTGGAAAAAGATTTAGTTACTAAGGTTATAATGTCTGTTAACTGAAATTTCACACTGTGTATTTTTAATAACATAATATGGGAAGAATTGCATGGGCTTTGAACTGCCAACTCAACAAGCGATGACCCCGTTACACTGTGGAGCAGACTTTAAAAGAATCCTAACCAGATCTCTCATTAATTCTTGGAGCTCAGATAGATTCTTCTGTTGCCTTTTAATTTGGATTTAAATTAATATTTGGTCAAGTGACCCTACACACCTGTTAGTATGAACTAAAATTTTACAACACAGTATTATGAAATTTTGTAGTGATCTGACTAGGATTCTTTTAATGCTAATGGTGTAGTGGTAATGGGAGTGTCACCCTCCTCTCATTGTTTTATTAGCTTTTTATAACAAAAAATTTGCTTTTGTGATTTATGAAAATAAGCATGAAAATAAGCACGTTTCACTTGATTTGTTGTGCTGGTAGGTTTTTGTCAGTGGTCATTATTAACTCATTCAGATATACTGTACCTTTCATAAATACGTATTTGGAATCACAAAACTGTTTATATGAATATTTACATTGTAATAGGTTGGTCCAGGAACAGGAAACATGACTGCAAAGCTTCTGGAAAGAGTAAAGCGGGTGATAGCATGTGAAGTAGACCCCCGTATGGTAGCAGAATTGCACAAGAGGTTCCTGTCTACTGCTCTCCATTCCAAGCTGGATATTAGGATTGGTGATATTTTAAAGGCAGATCTTCCAACATTTGATGTTTGTGTTGCAAATTTGCCTTACCAGGTGTGTATCTGCTGCCATCCAATTAGGTTTCAGGAATTGTTGTGTAAACTACGGATATTATTAATGTTCTTCAGGGATATTTTAATGCACTAGGCTGGTAGATATAGGCAATATGTTGGTATGATACCACCCAGGGAGGTACTGCCATTGTGTTATGAGTCCATTGGAAGCCTGTTAAATGTTTTGTATTCTGGCAGGATAGTCTTTTCTTTCTGTCTAATGAAAATACATATAAAATGGCAGGTAAATCTTAATATTTTTTAACTTGTGCTTATTTTAATATTCCTGTGTCTTAACCCTTTTGGTGACCATCATGTAGAACTACGTCATTGAGGTCTGAGTCCCTCACATAGTTCTGTATCACTCAAATAAACTGTGGGCAGTAAATTTTGGCCCAGATATGAAAATGGGTCTACACGATGAGTGCACAGTAAAAAAAATCTTGCCTCGCACATCGTATGATGGGAAAAGGAAAACTCTGACCATGTATTTGGTTTAAAATAGCAGTGGACATGTTTTCTAGGATGATTTTTTTGTTTAATTGGCTATTTCTTGGTAGCATTCAATTCAGTGTTTATTTCTTTGCAAGTTTACAATGAGATTGTTTACAGTGTGTAATTACAATAATGATTTGCAGCACAAAGAGCCACTATCATGCCTTGGCATTATGGGCAGTCTAAATTTAATGGTTTACAGACTACTTAATACTAGACTAATAAATCATAGTTTGTTTAAGTTTTACATCTGTTTTTTTTTTTTTTTTTTTTTTTTTTTTCCAACAAGTCGGTCGTCTCCCACCGAGGCAGGGTGACCCAAAAAAAGAAAGAAAATCCCCAAAAAGAAAATACTTTCATCATCATTCAACACTTTCACCACACTCACACATTATCACTGCTTTTGCAGAGGTGCTCAGAATACAACAGTTTAGAAGCATATACGTATAAAGATACACAACATATCCCTCCAAACTGCCAATATCCCAAACCACTCCTTTAAAGTGCAGGCATTGTACTTCCCATTTCCAGGACTCAAGTCCGACTATATAAAAATAACCGGTTTCCCTGAATCCCTTCACTAAATATTACTCTGCTCACACTCCAACAGATCGTCAGGTCCCAAGTATCATTCGTCTCAATTCACTCCTATCTAACACGCTCATGCACGCTTGCTGGAAGTCCAAGCCCCTCGCCCACAAAACCTCCTTTACCCCCTCTTTCCAACCCTTTCGAGGACGACCCCTACCCCTCTTTCCTTCCCCTATAGATTTATATGCTTTCCATGTCATTCTACTTTGATCCATTCTCTCTAAATGACCAAACCACCTCAACAACCCTCTTCTGCCCTCTGACTAATGCTTTTATTAACTCCACACCTCCTAATTTCCACACTCCGAATTTTCTGCATAATATTTACACCACACATTGCCCTTAGACAGGACATCTCCACTGCCTCCAACCGTCTCCTCGCTGCTGCATTTACCACCCAAGCTTCACATCCATATAAGAGTGTTGGTACTACTATAACTTTCATACATTCCCTTCTTTGCCTCCATAGATAACGTTTTTTGACTCCACATATACCTCAACGCACCACTCACCTTTTTTCCCTCATCAATTCTATGATTAACCTCATCCTTCATAAATCCATCCACCGACACGTCAACTCCCAAGTATCTGAAAACATTCACTTCTTCCATACTCCTCCTCCCCAATTTGATATCCAATTTTTTCTTTATCTAAATCATTTGATACCCTCATCACCTTACTCTTTTCTATGTTCACTTTCAACTTTCTACCTATACACACATTCTCAAACTCATCCCACTAACCTTTGCAATTTTTCTTTAGAATCTCCCATAAGCACAGTATCATCAGCAAAAAGTAACTGTGTCAATTCCCATTTGAATTTGATTCCCCATAATTTAATCCCACCCCTCTCCCGAACACCCTAGCATTTACTTCTTTTACAACCCCATCTATAAATATATTAAAACAACCATGGTGACATTACACATCCCTGTCTAAGACCTACTTTTACCGGGAAGTATTCTCCCTCTCTTCTACACACCCTAACCTGAGCCTCACTATCCTCATAAAAGCTCTTTACAGCATTTAGTAACTTACCACCTATTCCATAAACTTGCAACATCTGCCACATTGCTCCTCTATCCACTCTATCATATGCCTTTTCTAAATCCATAAATGCAATAAAAACTTCCCTACCTTTATCTAAATATTGTTCACATATATGCTTCAATGTAAACACTTGATCTACACATCCCCTACCCACTCTGAAGCCTCCTCGCTCATCCGCAATTCTACATTCTGTCTTACCTCTAATTCTTTCAATTATAACCCTACCGTATACTTTTCCTGGTATACTCAGTAAACTTATTCCTCTATAATTTTTACAATCTCTTTTGTCCCCTTTCCCTTTATATAAAGGGACTATACATGCTCTCTGCCAATCCCAAGGTACCTTCCCCTCATTCATACATTTATTAAACAAAAGTACCAACCACTCCAACACTATATCCCCCCCTGCTTTTAACATTTCTGTCATGATCCCATCAGTTCCAGCTGCTTTACCCCCTTTCATTCTACGTAATGCCTCGCGTACCTCCCCCACACTTACATTCTGCTCTTCTTCACTCCTAAAAGATGGTATACCTCCCTGGCCAGTGCATGAAATTACCGCCTCCCTTTCTTCCTCAACATTTAAAAGTTCCTCAAAATATTCTCGCCATCTACCTAATACCTCCCTCTCCCCATCTACTAACTCCCCTACTCTGTTTTTAACGGACAAATCCATACTTTCCCTAGGCTTTCTTAACTTGTTTAACTCACTCCAAAATTTTTTCTTATTTTCATTAAAATTTCTTGACAGTGCCTCTCCCACTCTTTCATCAGCTCTCCTTTTGCACTCTCTCACCACTCTCTTCACCTTTCTTTTACTCTCACATATACTCTGCTCTTCTTAAAACACTTCTGCTTTGTAAAAACCTCTCGTAAGCTACCTTTTTCTCTTTGGATCCCTCAGATTGCTTAGGCACAACAGACTTATATCTGCTATGCTCTTTAGGGTAGTTATTATGAGCAAACGCATATATAATCACACTATGTGCCATTTCCGCAGGCCGTATGATGTTCTTAATGAATATTCGAAATCAGAGTTTACGGAAGAAAGGAATTATCTCTTACCATCAGGTCTCGTAAAGATTCGAAACCGTGGTCAACCTCAGCACTATCAATCCACGAATCAAATAATCTGAAAAGTGATGTTTAAGAATTGCAATATAATTTTGATTTGGAGGTATTTTAATGGTCTAAACTCCAACCGTGTAATGATGATGGTTGTTTTTCTGAAAGCCTGAAGTATAGCTTCTTCAGCAGGCTATAACTAGAAATAACATCAGAGGTAGGTGGAATAAACATTTAATGCTGAACCTGACAGTAGTTAAGCACCGCCTAGTAGCCCAAGAATCTGATGGCCAGTCACAGAGAGTACGCATACTCTCTAATCTAGCAATATATGCCGAGATGTCTTCTTTGTTCTGAAAAAGTGGTAAACTGTGGCTCCTAATATTAGAGGTACTTGGAAGGGTATTCTATTAACCCCTTCATCTATTTTCTGCTTAGATAGTTCTATCTTCTGGCTTTTTTCTAATTCCAACCTAAACTTTTACCAGCCCCTCTGCTTAGCATGTTCTTTCAATTTCCTTCATTTTGAAGGCTACTCTCATCGCTTAACTCTATCTTCCTAGCTATCCTATCCTGTTCTTGTATCTCCCCTCCTGAGCTAGTCTTTATCCTGTTTCTTTTTTCTCTTCACAAGCTAGTCTTTTTTTCTTCTTGAGCTAGTCTTTTCTTTCCTTTTTCCTCACTCACTAGCTAGTCTTTCCTGCTCTCTTTTCTTTTCATAGCCATTTTAGCAGTAATATAACTACAAGGCTCTATCCCAGTAATATCCCATTTCCTTCCACTTCAACCAGAAATCCAAGGAATCCAACCTTGTAAGAAAAGAAAATATTATGCACCAAACTTGACCCGTCTGAACTAATCAAACTAACAGAACGTCCGGTTACACAAAAGAGGGACACAGTCCGCACACTTTAAACTTCCCAAAAAAGAAAAATGAACTAAATATTTCTCCCTGGAAGAATACGCTGTGGGCTCAAATAGCCTTCACTAAGCTAAATACACAACTTCACACAGGAGGGTTAAATTATCAAGTTCCCAGGTCTAACAAATAGGTATACTTCTAACCCGGAACGATAGAACCAAACAAACGGTAAGTCAACCAGACTACCAGTAATGACTTGACACCTCAACTAACTCACTCTTTTCTATCTTAAATGTTATACTCACAACCAGTTGAACCATCAGGACGATGTTGCTTCAAGAGTCGTATCCTGGCAAGGTCGCCATTGTCATGGAACGCCTTCTCATCTGAACAAAATAATACTAATGGAAAAATAAATAAAAAAAAAAACGACTCTAGAAAAAATAAGGATAATGACTTTTGAGGATTTTACTTAAAATTTAAATACAGTGGACCCCCGCTTAACGAACTTTTTTCATTCCAGTAGTATGTTCAGGTGCCAGTACTGACCGAATTTTTCCCCATAAGGAATATTGTGAAGTAGATTAGTCCATTTCAGACCCCCAAACATACACGTACAAACGCACTTACGTAAATACACTTACATAATTGGTCGCATTTGGAGGTGATCGTTAAGCGGGGGTCCACTGTATAATAAAAATGGCCTCTGGTTCTGGTGCTGTAGTCGGGCAGGAGTAAGTAAGGCCCTGGACAGATCTCTGATGTTAAAGATGTAGGTTATCCTAGGCGGATGGTAACAGTCCGATGTTTTGGAATCTCCTATACCACTTGGTTGGAGCACCACAAGTAGAATAAATAAGCCATACCCTGTAGTAGTCTAATACGTAATACCTGGTAGTAGTCTAATACGTAATGTTAATAAGTCCAATTAACAAATG